TACAAACTGACAGCTGTGTGATATGAAATAGGAGTGATGGCATCGAATGGTACTGTATGGGGGGTTATACTCCAGAAGGTAAGTATGAGCCACGTTGTTTTATATCCATAGGATGAACAGGCTCATTCTTTCAAGGATGTTAGGAAGTTGTAGGCCTTTCCACAGGCTGTGGGGCTGGGGTGGGGGGAGGGGGGGAGGTGGGGGAGGCAGAGTTAATGTGCATCTCAGGCCTAGGGAAAATGATCCAGGGTGATGAAAAATCAGGAAGTCTTTTACATCATTATAGGACTGAATGATTAAGGCAGAGAATGTCCTTCAGTGGGAATCTAGAAATAAGTGGGAAATAACTTAAGATGTAATATAAAATAAAATATGATGAAAATAACCTGGGAGGTTGATGCTAATTTTGCATTTATAGTTTTGGTGGGTTCTTTTTTTGGGGGGAGGTGGGGGGTTCTTTAAATCTAATGCCAAAGACGTTTATGAGGCCTTAATTTGTGCTGTCTTGCCAGATAAAGCCTGCATTCATTTAAATTTGAGAACCTGAAACTCTTCCAGGCTTTTATAAAAGTGAATGGAATGCATGCAGAGTCATGATGGCAATATATTTGAAAAGTTCAGAATTTCAAAGATGTAGTTAGTTTTGCTCAGGAGGAAATAAATAGCTACAAAACCTTTTGCATATGTTTGTTTCAGAATTTAGGACTTGTATGCTTTGTACCATATGCTAATCTCAACTCATAATTAATGTACCAAGGTAAACAATGTATATCCAATCCTCTCTTGTTATCCCTCCACTTTACCTGAAAACATTTCAAGGAAATATCTATACTCATCTATGCTATATCCAATCATTGCTTCATCATTTCAGTCTGTCTTCCAATATCTGTACTTGCAATGTGGATAAACAATTTGCACTTGTGCTATGAATTGAAAGGATTGTTTCAATGATTTTCTAAATTTATAACCTCAGCAAGAATTCACTGTTCTTAAATGTATTATCCCTTATACGTTTGCTCATTATTCATGTTTGCTTTCCCATCTGACTTAGTATTTAATATTTGTATTTTTCAAGTCTTGGTTCTGAACCTGTTCTTCCTCACAGTTCATATACTGTCTCTCTAAACAAGTTCACATCCATTGTTTCAATTAATCGTCACCACAAGGTGGTTGACTTAAAGATCATTTGTTCTGCTCAGACCTTTACTCCTAGTTCTATAATCGCAAATTCAATTGCCTTTTGGGCATCTTGGTATGCAGTTCATGATCTTCTCGCCCAAATTGGCCAAGCTCTCTGATATTTAATGGTACCATAATCCATTCAGTAGTGCCAACAAAAATAAAAATAAAAATTATCCTTGACATCTCTCAAAAATTCAGATTTAATCTGTTACCTATCTTTTTCAATTTTATATTTTTAATAGCTTTTGGCCTAGTTCACGTCTCTCCATCTCTATTATCACAGCTTCTCCAAGATCATCATTGCCTAGCTGGACCACTACAGTAGGCTCCTACCTGACCATGCATATCATCCAATCTAGTCTACACTTGAACAGTTATCTTCAACCTTAAGTGATTTTGCTCACCTCAAAAGGTTTAGCAATGTCTGGAGATAGTCTGTCATAACTGGGGTCAATGTTACTGCTACATAGGGGAAAGTGGCTGAATCCTATTAAACATCTGATAACACAGAGAATATAGGCTCCTCGACCACAAAGAATCATCTGGTCCAAAATGTCAATAGTGTGTAGGTTGGACACCCTGCTCTAATGGTAGACTGAACTTGTAACCCTACAGACCTGATTATATCTCACGAGTATGTGTGCACCCCCCCCACACACACTAACTTAAAATCCTTTAACAACTCCCCCATTTTGCTAAGAGCAGGGTAATAAATATGGGCTCTTCGTTCTGAATTAAATAGCCTTGACCAGCCTTTGCTAACAGACAGATTCCTGGTGGCATCGTGCGTTAGACGGCGAGCTGCTTACTGCAGGGTTAGTAGTTTTAAACCACAAGTTTTCTACTCTCATAAGAGTTTACAGTATTGCAAATCCATAGAGGCAGGTCTACTCTGTCCTGTAGGGCTGATATGAGTCTGAAACAACTCAATGGCAATGAGTGAGTGAATGAGTGAGTCTCTTATAGGACCCTGCCCTACGTAGAGTTACTATGTGTCAGAATCAACCCCACACCATTTGGAACCTACCTTTGCTAAGTCATCTAGCCCCATGTTCATACTCAGTTTCTCCACTACAGCCACATTCCAATTGCTGTTTTTCTTCCCAGAGCAGGACATTTAAAAAAAATCATTTTATTGGGGGCTCAAACAACTCTTATCATAATCCATACATACATCCATTGTGTCGAGCACATTTGTACATTTGTTTCCATCATCTTTCTCAACACATTTGCTTTCTACTTCAGCCCTTGGTATCAACTCCTCATTTTCCCCTCCCTCCCTGCCCCCTCCCTGCCCCATAAGCCCTTGATAATTTATAAATTATTATAATTTTGTCATGTCTTACACTGTCCGACGTCTCCCTTCACCCACTTTTCTGTTGGCGCAGGACATTTTTAGATGTTTTCTCTCAAATCTGGAGTCCCTTCACCTAGCTAAGTGCCATTCATCCTTCAATATCAGCTGAAGACCTTTTCTTTTGGGAGGCTTTGCCTGACCTTCCTCACTAGAATAATTCTTCCCTTTTAGACATCCAGAGATTTACATATCCCTCCTTTTGGTGGTTAAAACAATGCAGTTACTTTTGCCTAGGTATTTGACTAAAAGAACGTCTCTCTCACTAGATTAACAGTTATAAAAATGAATACTTTATCTTTATTATATTTCAAATACACTTACACTACAAGTGGCTAGTCACTAAAGGTTAAATGTTTAGTGACCAAATACCTCTCTTCACATATCGTGCGAAAAGTTAGTCCTAAGAAGTCAAGTAGCTGGAGCAAACCCATAGAGATAATCAGGAGCCACGGGAAAGCTCGGATCCAAGTCTTTCATTATCAAATGCTGCATTTCCTCTCTCAATGACGGTTTTGTTCATTTATTGTTGCTTGTGAATTTTTTCTCCAAGTAAATCGTTCATTAAAGCACAACACATATCAAACAGATGAAGGAGATTAAGGCAGATTGCTGCTTTGACTGAAAACAGAAGAATTCGTCCTTATCTGAGAAATCCTTTAGCTTCCTGAAGTTATTCCCTGCTTACCCTTTGCCTGAGTCCTGAGGGACTTCTCTTAAGACCACTGAGATCGGTGGATCAGCGTTTGGAAATAGGACATTGTATTTTCAAACGTAGCCTCTGTGGTGTCTCTTATGCTTTGGACAATCATGAAAACAAAATGGCTAATTCAATAGAACATAAATTACCAGGTCATCATTGGCTGAAACAGTTGCTTAGACAGTTTCCCCAAATCACATCTCCCTGTTTCTATCCCAGAGTACCCTTTGAGTACAGCAGTATGAGTTCACGACCTTTAACTTTCAAACACAAATACTCTTAGAATGACTACCTTCTTGGCCATCATCAAGTTGTCTTTAGTTATTTTATTTTTGCCAAATGTTAGCAGTTGAATTAAGTCAACCAAATGAAAAGAGACAAACATGCTATCTCAACCACCTAGCAGTCACTGGACAACAAGACAGTGGGAGAGGACACCAGAGTAAAGTGAGGTGGGGACACAGGCGATTTGACAGACGCTAGCTCAAGAGCTCATTTCCCTAGGCCTGGAATTTTCATCTCAGCAAAATAAAATATCACTGCATGTTATAAACTTTGGAGTTTTGATAGTAGTTGCAAACACAAACATAAGAAATAATGTCCTGAAAAAATGTAGATGTCTTTTCCTGCTTCTCCTATTCATTTGCAGCTATATTCTATGCCTGTTTAAAGATGGAGTCATTAAACCTATCGATTATATGTATAGTAAATGGGTATGCAAATTCGAAAGGGTTTATATATGTTTTTTTCTTTGCTAAGAAGCTGGTCTTTTCCAACCATAGAATAAGTAGAAAATGAATAGACTCTAAGAAATGCTTCAGTGCTTTTAGCTGTTTCTTACACTTGACTCACATGCCGATGTATTCAGGATGTAGCAAAAGCAAAGAGCGAGTCATCCCATCGTTGTTCAAATGCCAGTTGTTTTAGGAAAGAAAGCTTAAGACTCCAAGATCTAAACCTATGAGCAGCTACTGAATATATTTCCAACACCTTACTTGATGTTTTTAATAGGCTTTTTCTTCTCAAGGTCACTTACTTACATTGGCTTTTAAAATTCAAAACATTTCGCTTGATTGACTTGTTTTGCTTTATTAGATTATATTACTCAAGATATCAAATGAGGAACACTTAGCACCCCGTTTTTGGAAAAATCTGCTTTATAGTTTTCTTTGAGTCATTTTATCTCCCCACTTTTAAATTGCCATCCTAAGAAGTCAGATCATAATCTTTAAGATGTGACAAACTGTACTTACTGTATGGTAGTGGAATTGGCTTGTGATTCAGGAGTGCTATAATTGCTAAGATTATCATTATAGGGTGAACATGACATTACAAAAACTCATTTCCTTCTGTCTTAAGTGTACAATGTTTACATGCTGCTATTTTCTGTAATTCCCTCATCGCTATTTTTCAGGCCTAGGCAGTTGCATCTATTAACATATATTATGTTATAGTGTGACCCGTATTCCACTTTACCTCTTTGTGAAGGGAAGGGCGGTGGGGGTGGGGGTGGGGGGCAGGAATGGCCACATGAACGAAAAGCTAATTCAGAAGTGAACCAGGGATGAAAAAGTAAACTGAAGAATCAGATAACCGTTTGCGGTTCTTGGCAAAGTTGGCAAAATGTAACCCGAAGCATATTGGAGAACATCACTCGTGATAGAACCCCCTCCTTCTCCCCCTCCTGCTTTCTAACCCTCTGGAAAGCTGCATCTGGTTCCACTGATAGCTTTTAACACAAATCCCTTTCATGTTTTCTAACAGGAAGCGGAAGTTGAGCGAAGTGTACGTTCACCGACATTTAAAAGTCGCCCTAGAAGCCAGTCGGAGGATTCTGTGAACCCTTCAGCCACAAAAGGAGGGGAAGCATCTTTTGACAAGATGTCATCTGAGAGTGGTCACAGTCAGATCTTTGAAGGTTAGCATTACATTTTCGCCAGATTCTTGGGAATCATACTGTTTACAAAATGAATGCTTAATTTAAAACATAAAGTGGGTTTTGTTTAAAATTACTAGAAAGGGTGTGGACAGCATATATTTAACGAAACACAATTGAGGAATTATAGAAATACTTTTAGGTAATCATATACTTATGACTTTGAAAACAAAACAAATTATTTTAAATTGGCTCTAGGCCAGTACTTTAGCATTTTCATAACGAGGCTTTTGAAATAATTGGACCATCTCGGACTTGCCCTTTTGGAAAAAAAAAAAAAGGAAAGGTGTTTGTGTCTCCATCTGTGGATAATAAAAGATAAAATACAAGTATCTGTCACTGGCACACAAAAACATTAATGCCTTCAGCATCTCTTTCTCAGACAATTAAACTAAATGGGCTTAATGAATTTTGAATAAAATGTGACATGGCTGTATCATATTTTGGGACAAACCTCATAAATTTGACTAATGTTTTGCAAATGTCATTAAAAGTTAATAGCTCATATGGTAGAGATTGCACTATTAACATGGCTTTCAACAATGACAGAAATGCGAAATATAAATGATTTATTGCAAAATGCAGATATCATTTATCATTACTTATGAGGCACGTACTGGGTTTTTTCCATTTTATCCAAGTAGTGCATGTATGTGATGTTTCCTAAAAATCATAATTGGTATCATTTTTAGGCTATGACTTAGGGTATCTGTAGCAAACTGTCAAGTTGCAGTCAATATTAGAATCTGGAATAATCTATGAAATATGACAGTTCACATTTGGGCCACATTACTCTGCCTTAAAATTCTGCTACTCTCTCAATCGGAATAATTGAGGTAGAGCACGGACCTACCTGGAAAGCTTGTTAGAAATGGAGAATCTGAGCCCCACGCCGGTTGAAATCCGAATCTTCATTTTAACAAATTCCCCAGACGAAATCTGTGCACATTGAAGTTTTAGAAGTAATCTTCTAACAGAGCACACGCGGAAGCTCAGGAGGATATGCGTGTTGTTTTGCCCATTCATTTGGACTGTTGGGGTAGAAGGGGAGTATGGGAATAGGAAAGGAGAATTTGTTAATGACTGGGCATGGGTTTCTCAATAATGCAAACTGGAATCACAATCTCTTTTTTATTTTCAATTCATCTTACGTTACCTCACTGATATCCTAATATGATTAGCAGCCCTCTTAAAGAATGTATTCCACCTATCTTTGACCTGTGATTAAACTTCATGTGCACTTGTTTAAAATGCAAAAGATTTAGGCTAGCAGTGGCCAACAAAGAGAAGCTTTAGAGAATCTATTTCATTCTTGTGATGCTGGCCGGTGGATAGGGAGCCAGCAATCAGATAAACGAATATAAGTTACAGACCATTGAATCTCCTCATGTGTTTTCATACAAAGGTTCCAATGGCTTCTTTTATTTATTTTACAAATTTAGGAAAGATATTATGGCAGATAACTGTTATGTAGCATCAACAAATTATTTACATTTGAAATCACCTCCAATGTAAATATGGAGGTATTTAGAAAAGATATAGTATCTGGGGTCAGAAAGGCTTGAAAGTAAACATGCGGCCATCTAGCTCAGAAGCAACAGAGCCCACATGGAAGAAGCACACCAGCCTGTGCGATCATGAGGTGTCATAGGGATCAGGTATCAGGCATCATCAGAACAAAAAATCAAATCATTGTGAGTGAGGGGGAGTACAGATTGGGGACCCAAGACCCATCTGTAGGCAACTGGACATCCCCTTACAGAAGGGTCACAGGGAGGATATGAGTCAATCAGGTTACAGGGGAGCAATGATGAAACATACAATTTTCCTTTTGTTCCTAAATGCTTCCTCCCCACACTATCATGATCCCAATTCTACCTTACAAATCTGGCTAGACCAGAGGATGTACCCTGGTACAGATAGGAACTGGAAACCCAGGGAATCTAGGACAGATGATCCCTTCAGGCCCAGTGGTGAGAGTGGCGATACTGGGAGGGTGGAAGGAAGGTGCGGTGGAAAGGGGGAACCGATTACAAAGCTCTACATATAACCTTCTCTCTGGGGGATGGACAACAGAAAAGTTGGTGAAGGGAGACGTCGGATGGTGTAGGATATGACAAAATAATAATAATTTGTAAATTATCAAGGGTTCATGATGGAGCGGGGAGCAGGGAGGGAGGGGAAAAATGAGGAGCTGATACCAAGGGCTCAAGTAGAAAGAAAATGTTTTGAGAATGATGATGGCAACAAATGTACAAATGGGCTTGACACAATGGATGTATGGATGGATTGTGATAACAGTTGTACAAGCCCCAAATAAAATGATTAAATGTTTTAAAAAAGAAAATGTTAAACACCAAGCTTGAAAACAGAGCAGTAAACACTACAGTGAGGATGAATATCATGGTGAGGCATCATCATAGCGACCCTATGCATCACAGAAGGAAACGCTGCTTAGACCTGCAACATCCTCCCAATTGTTGGTGTATGTTTAACCTACTGTTGTAGCCATTGTGTCAATCCATTTCACTGGGGGGGGGGATCATCGACTGTTCTTCACTGGCCCTCTGCTTTATGAAGTATAATGTCCTTTGCAGAGACTGGTCTCTCCAGATAGGTTCTAAGGAGCATTCTGTTTGTCCTTCTTCCAAGACACCTTTATTCATTTTGTTCTGGCAGTCTCTGGGACTTCGAATATTCTTGGCCCACACCATAATTCACATGCATCAATTCTTCCCTAGTCTTTTGTCTTCCTCGTCCAGTTTTCACACCCAGATGAGGCCATGGAAAATGCCAGGGCTTGGGTCCAGCACCCGTTAAACTCTAAGTGACATTATTTTTCTTCCTCATACCTAAATTGGTCATTTCCAGTAGATTTTCCCAATGCAATACCTTTTTTTTTTTTTTTGCATTCTTGCCTTCCAGGAGCATTGCTTGTAGATTCAAATGAAAGGAAATTCTAGACAACTTCAATGGAAAAGGATACAAAATCCAATTCCTCACAACTGATAAAGAAAAGTTTTTTGTTATGGGGAATCCTTTTCATTCTTTCATGCCGCTCAAAGTTTCTACTCAGAGTACAGCAATTAGGAGCATTTTGACATAGGAAAGTGACAGGAGAGGTATATATATATATATATTCTACCTAACCAAAGGAGGCGGTGGGGGCAGAATTAATATATGTGTTATTTCCATTCAGCCTCAGATACAAATTTTGTCCCGAGAAGATCAATGTACATTACTGAATCAAGTGTCATAACTGAAAGATATCAGTTTATAATTATATGAGTGAGTAGGATGACCTCATACTTACTCATCTTCATAAATAAAACTCACATACTAGCCACAAGAGTTTTGTACTTGAAGGCAGTCATTATTTATAACTCTATACTAATCAGGCATGTGAAAAGAATGAAGACTCACAGCATTAAAATACTGCTGTGGCATGTCCTGAACTTTCATAATTTAGTGAAACAAATATAAACCGATGAATTCATTCTAAGTCTCGGGACTTGCTCTGTCACGGCATTGGGCCCTATCTCTTATCCTGAAACGCTGTCCAGAACAATACAGATAAGCACAGTGATTCCTCTAACCTTCCCTTCTATTCCTGAGAATCTACTCTCACCTGGTGTTACAGTGTTCTGACCACCTCTTACTTCATTTGTCCCACCTTCCTCAACTACATAACAGGGTCAAAGAAAGTGTCTTGGTTCTGTATTCCCAATGCATTCCATTCACTTTTTCTTTGGAATGTATTTTAATGATTACCATATATACTCGTGTATAAGCCAAGATTTTCAGCACAGTTTTCATGCAGTTTTCCTGATAAAATTAGGTGCCTTGGCTGATATTCGGGTCAGCTTATACTTGAGTATATATGGTAGTTGTTTGACTCGTTCAAGGTAGACTTGGATAATTTGAAAATAAAATGTCAAGCATGAGCAATCCATCATTTAGCAAATTTGATGCTGCAGTAAGTACAAAAGAAAAATAAACCAGTGCAGTAATATAAAAATCTGAGTTTGGAATGCCCTTTAGATAACAACAGCAAACTAGACTAACAGTATGAGTCTCAGATACTGATGGTTGATCTACACATGTGTAGAACAAAAAGTCTACTGCATCTGCTAGCAACCTCTGAGTCAAGGAATGTTGCAGATAGCACAGGTGACTGCGTAATGTTCACAAGCGTATGTTGCTCGGGAAGTTTTTACATGACAATTACCAAGCTTTTCCATTTGAGTCTCTAAACTACCATTTTGATCTTTAAGTCATTATCATGTAAAATGTTAGCAGATAAAATATACATTCAAAGTCATTCTTTGAAGGCTTTTGTAATAAACCTTGGAAATTGCCTACTGAATTTCTTTTTTTCATTCTGTTCCATTAGAGCTAAATTCATTCTTTGTTCTTATAATGGCCTTTCTGATCTTCTGACAGATTTTACAAAATAAACTTAGAGTTCTAGTCTTTTAAAATGTTTTTTTTTTGCTCCCTTTAAGTGATGGGGTACTTCCAGGCATTCGTGTTTCTATTGATATTGATATATGTTCAGGATATATATGTATAGGTGCATATCTGATTGACATTTACATATATTATTTTTCATTTAAAATCTGACTCTAGAGAGAAACACTTGTGTTACCTACTGCATAACAATGGGGGTGTTATCCACCTGTGCTGTCAAGTATGGTACCTGTGAACCAGATGTGTCTATTAAGCAATTGAAAAGTAGCTAGTGTGGCAGGAAAAATGTATTTGTTCATTCTATTTCATTTTAATTCATTTAAATTGAAATGGTCACTAGATTAGACAGCGCCACACCCACCATAGGAGGGGACCCAGAAGGTCAAGCTACTCATGGTAAGCTATCTTCTACCAGCAAATCCTTTATTACAAATGTGTAGCTAAACGGATAGCAGACCCATGACTCCAAAAGAAACAGCAAGAATGCAGTGCTGCACAGATAGGAACTGGAAACACA